GATGGACCGGTACCTGGCCTAAACAACTAGCCGTTGGGTCTGGTGGGGTCTAAACGAGGCCTACCGGACCCTAAACTGAACCGACGGTTCCTAGGGCTACCTGGACCTAGCTGGGACCGTCGTGACATGATACCTAGGCCTAAACTGTGCCTATTACAGAACCGGGCCCTAACTGGGGCCCGTGTGGTATCAGTATGCCACAGATGCCCCGGTAGTCCGCCTTAGCCTCGGCCTTGGAGGAAGAGGAAGAAGGGTGGCCATGGCTATGGTGGACCTCATGTCATACCTGCAGTAGAAGAGGATTCGGACATTGATTCTGGTTCAGCCATTCAACATTATTATTATTATTTATTGTAATATTGTTTGAATAAGAGGGGAGGAGACAAGGAGGAGGAGAGTGGTTGGCGAAGAAGAAGAGCATTATCATTGGTCTATGCTGGTGTACATCATATTCTTCTTCTTTCTCTCTTCTTCTTCTTCTTCTTCTTTCCCTCTCTCTCCTCTCAAGTTCATTCATTTCTTTTTGCAAGTGGACGGCATTGTACTTTCTGATGAGTGTGTACTTCAAAATTGGCCAGGATCATAACATCAGTGCTCAGTGTGTTGTAATTTGGTGTGCTCTGGGCTTTGTAATTCTGGTTTCAACTTGGCTTCTTCATTATCGGTGTTCTGTGAGCAGTTGTATCTTGAAAAATTGTGTTCTCATTGGATGGGTCCCTGCACAAGGGAGAAACACCCAGTTGTGCAGCATTGGGAGTTGGAACCAGGGCGTGTTCTGTCTTTCCTTACCGGGAAGAAAACCAGGGACATCAATCGGGAAGAAAACACCACCTCTTTACTGAGTCTTACTAATAGCGAGGGTGACTTTTGTTGGTGGTTGCAGGCATGATTTGGAAGTAAATGGTGCTCGTGGGCTTGGGAATGATGGTATACCTAGGCATAATGCAAGGCGTTTTCAGGGTATGCAATCGACTGCTTGAGTTATCACAGCTGATTCTGACTTACGCATTGCCAGCTGGAGACGTTATGAAGTAACAGATGCGGAATTGGGCCAAGGATTTCTACTGTGCGCAGCTTTACAAGCCCACCCTCTCAACTTAGACGTTATGGTTGCGCATCCATGCCGGACAAACATACACATGGACATATTCAGTGGGCGAGAAGGTGCACATGTTTACACTTTGCTCAGCTTGAAGAGAAGATCCTTTCTTGTGAGATTTCTTACCAGTGCGAGACCTTTTGACATGGAACAAAATTACACATCATTTCTGGCCATGACTGAAGTCAGATCTAAGACCAACATGTAAGCTTTCCCAACGGATGTATCATCTGGTACAACATGGCTACTTACTGGCTACCTTTCCACATCTTCTATGCCATGCCACAAGGAGCTATTCGTGGAAGAAGAGCTGGTGTCAGAAGCAGGGCCACAGATGGTTCTGGGTTGTGTTTACTGTGACTGTCCGGGTATAGTTTGTGGTGTGCCAGATAGAGGTGAAATTGGCCTGGTATAGTCTGGTTGAGTCCGTGCACCATGGTCATGCACTGTAGCTCACCTATTGAACTGTGCGGTGTGTCCTCATTTATGTGTTGTAAGCAAGAGCCAGAGAACAATGAGAGAACGGGGAGGCAAGGATAAGGGAAGGTGCAAGGAGATGTGTGGAAAGCTGGAAGCTGAGCAAGCACGTGATTGGAGAATGCGAGATTGAAAGGGTAAGACTGACTGATCAGTAACAAGATGATTCGTGAGGAGAATGGGGTGGTTTTGGAGGCGCTACAGTCTTGGGTCTGACTGATCAGTAACAAGATGATTCGTGAGGAGAATGGGGTGGTTTTGGAGGCGCCACAGTCTTGGGTTGACTTGAACCAGAGGTAACTAGGATTAGATGATTAGTGTTCTTGGTTTGACATAGGGAACATAATCTCATTTTCTACAATCAACTGAAAGAGAGATGTTGCGTTTGTGAATGCTTTGTCATTGCCGAACGGTCCTTCTTGCTTATGCTTAAGCATGTGGAGCTTGCCTCCAGAAGACGTGGGATCTGGCCCGCTTGGGCTCCCACATCTAAAGGGTGGTGATTTCTGCAGGAGCTGATCTCACGGCAGGCCTAACACTGGAACTGTTTTGCAAGATATACTCTGTGGCAGTCTCTTTCAAATTTCGGACTGTGGAACCAAAACTTACCTGTAGCAAGATATACTCTGAAGGGTGTGGAAGTTGGGTCCATAATGCTCCATATGTCTCTGCCTCTCCTCAGAGGGCAGGCAAGATTTTGTGATGATAATCACAGGTCTGTAGCAATATGTGTCTTTTCATACGAGTTTGATTGCCACTTTTATACTCCCGAGTTTGCGTGGACTGCTAGATGTCATTTGGCCTGACTAGAGCAAGCCGGAGGGGGAGGAGAGAATTTTCACGCACACACACACACACACGCACACACACACAGAGGGGGGGTCGGTGCGTTCTTGCTGGAGGAGTCTACTGTCTTAGATACGTTGTCTCTTATCTTCTTCCTCCTCTTTGGCAGTGATGCGAGTGTGTAGTTTGAGATGAATGTCCGGAATGCCAATCCTGTTATGTTTGATTGTTTTTGGTAAATGAGTTTTTGGTTTTGTGGGCCAATTCTGAAGGCTCTCCAAGTTTTTTTGGACCTTTGAGGGGTTGGGCCGGTGCCTTCGTGCTGGAGTAGTCTTCTGTCTTATGTAAGTTGCCTTCTGCCCTCCATCCCCTTATGGTTTGAAATATATATGTATACATATGTATATGTGCAAGTGTGCCGCTTTGGCGGCAGACGGGTGTGTGAGCACTTGGCGCTGAACCACACAAACGTTGCCAACCTTGCATTTTCTATTATATTGCCTATCTATACTTTTTCGTTATGGATGGCTTGTCATGATTTGTGATGGGAATAAGAGAGAGAATCTGGGGTCTTTTAAAACAACACACATAACGGGCTTGCTAGCTCTCTGTCTTGGCAGATTTGAGCGGCTAGGATTGGGCTCGTATTAGCGAGCTATTCTCTCTTTTTGTGGTTGAATATGTCTCGTTGGTTTTGTTGATTATACACGGCCTAATTCTTTGCCCTGCTTTAGAGCATGGGCTGTTTGGATGTTCACGGGTGGCCACGAGTTCTCTTTGGGGGGAATGTATGTTTTGTGGGCCGGCGTGGAAGGCTTTCCCAGTTTTTTTGGACCCTTAGCAGGGGGGGTCGGTGCGTTCCTGCTGGAGGAGTCTTCTGTTTTAGGTAAGCTGTCTCTTATCTTCTTCCACCTCTTTGGCAGTGACGCGAGTGTGTTGTTTGAGATGAATGTCGGGAATGCCAATGCTGTTATGTTTGATTGTTTTTGGTAAATGAGTTTTTGGTTTTGCGGGCCGATGCAGAAGGCTCTCCAAGTTTTTTCGGACCTTTGAGGGGGCCGGGTCGGTGCCTTCTTGCTGGAGGAGTCTTCTGTCTTAGGTAAGTTGCCTTCTGCTCTCCATCCCCTTATGGTTTGAAATATATATGTATACATATGTATATGTGCAAGTGTGCCACTTTGGCGGCAGACGGGTGTGTGGGCACTTGGCGCTGAACCACACAAACGTGGCCAACCTTGCATTTTCTATTATATTGCCTATCTATACTTTTTCGTTATGGATGGCTTAGCTCTCTGTCTTGGCGGATTTGAGCGGCTAGGATCGGGCTCATACTAGCGAGCTATTCTCTCTTTTTGCGGTTGGATATGTCTTGTTGGTTTCGTTGATTATACACGGCCTTGCAATGAACCCAGATCGTGAAGACAATTGTCAACAATGCAAGTCCAAATGAGTGTCAACCAGCTGATGATTATCAATAATCGTATTCGTGTCCAGATACCCAAGAGAAGAGAAGACATACACAGACGAGGTAGATGAGAGGGAGGAAAGACTTAGAGTGGGGAAGATAGAAACAATGCCCACTGGTTCTTCGGGCTCCCTCCCCAATCACCACCTCAATAATCAATAATCTGAACGAGTATCTGAAGTAACCTCAATGTGCCGCGTGGCACGTCTAATCAGTCCCTCATCAATGCTGGAGCAATGTCGACATGAAGACAACCAGGTAAGTATCCATGATCTCTCCACAGTCTTGATCTCCTCCTGAATGACGATAATCAGAGCAACAACACAAGTCACATAGCTTCGCCTCGTCAACCAGTCGTACACGTGGCAGCAGCCACGCCAGCGACAGCGCATGGCAGCTGCCACGTCAGCTTGCCAAGAAGATAGGTGCAAGCCAGCCACCATGCCGGACCAGCAGCGCGTCGCCGTTGACACAATGCCAGCACACAGTCAGCGCTCAACCAGCTTTGCAGCGTCGAGCCAGAGTCGTCGTCAACGCGTGAAGATAGCATCGACGTAACACAGAATGAATGTCAAAGCCAGAAAAGTCAGTGCTTATGTAGCGTTGACTCGGGGTCTGGGCCGCGGATGCTACCACCCTCAGCCGTCCAGATTTCGATGCAAACTAAGGCCCGGATTGGTCTGAAACCGAATTCCCTCCGGCCTGGATGCTTGTCTGGGTACCTGCGCGCAACAAGTGAGTGTATCCAACCAAGGGCCTGGGTGCGGTACCTTTGACTCTACAGTTGACTTTGACCCTTGAATTTCCTGTGTGCAGCGTTCGGTCACACAGCCAAACGTGACAGACTCAAGCCTGGGCGTGTCTTGGTCACACAGCCCAGCGCAGACCAACTCAGGTCTGCGTTGCCCGAGACTGAGTTCTGGGCCCCAGGATACTTCTGAATAGGGTTACTGCGTTCCTACCGGCCCATTTTCGAGTTCCACCGCAAAAATATTTAGGACTTTAACCCTCGTTCATAAGCAGCGACAATATCAGGAGCAGTTTCAAGTACTTCTCGTTTACTAAACGATCTGTCCTCAGATGGTGCCTAAAACTTAAAACGTACCTTGAATTGTTATTGAGGTCGTCCACGTCCTCCCGTAGAGAAGTAACCATGCTCTATGATTTTGTCTACCTCAAATCTGCCTTCCATAGATGGCGGAATCATAGAGGGTCTGTTAGGAAATTTATTTCCTACGTAGGGCATCAGTTTGGAAGCGTGAAAGACAAGATATGTTTTGAGATAAGGGGGAATATCAATGCGATAAGACGGTCCCTCTGCATCCCCAATTACTTTGAGAACTTCCCAAGGTCCGAAATAGACAGGAAGCAATTTTTGGGACACATTTTCCCCTAATGAAAACTCTTTAGATTTCACCCAAACCATATCACCCTCTTTGAATGTAGACGGTCGACGGTGCCTGTTGGCTTGTTCAATCATCCGTAGTTGAGCTTTCCTTAGATTATCTTTAACTTTATGAATGTCCTCCTTAAATAATATTGCATATTCTCGGGTCCCTGGGGGCAACCTAAGGAACTGGTCTCGGTTTAGTACATCAATGGGACGTTTAGGTTTCCACCCTTTATGAAGTGCATTCGGGGTTCGTCCAGTGGATGTGTGGAGGCACTGTGGACATTGTTGTTATATGCACTAGCAATTTTGGGTAAGTTCTCGTCCCAATCAATCTGATCGGGTCTAACATACATATGCAAAAGTTGTTGGCATAGACGGTTCATAAGTTCCCAATTTTAAGAGAATTCCTGCTAAGATAACAGATCCAGCGGTGGGTGCTTCTACATGAGCTTCACCTTGTATCTAGATGATTGAATTTGCATCAATAAGAATCATTAATTATTTTCAAAAAAAATATTTTGCGAACTAAAATATGAATTTAAATTTCTAAAGTTATTATGCTATCTTTAACTTAGTCCTAATTCAGTCTGGCCATTCATTTCGGGATGCCTCCCTGACGACATGGTCAGCCGCGTGCCATAAGCTTCCATCAGCTTTTGCCATGGCAGACTGGTGAACCTGAAATCTCGACCTGACACAATGGATTTACGGAACCCCTACTCAGTGACCCATCGCATTTGAAATTTTTGAATCACAAGTTCAGTACGCGCTTCTGCTGGTAAGGGAACAAACATAGCGTATTTAGAGAAACAGTTCACAATTACCATTACTTGACTATTACCATTGCGACTTTTAACCAGACTCATGAAGTCAATTGAGATAGACTCACCTGGTTCGCTTGGTATAGGTAATGGCTTGAAAAGTCCAAGGGGATTCTCATGCGACGGCTTGTTTCTCTGACACACTAAACAGGTACGAACATATGTTAGTACATCTTCCCTTAATCCCTTCCATTCAAAGCGCGCCATAACCTCTGCGTATGTTTTCTTGAATCCAAAATGACCCTCGTAATCGTGGCATTCCCCCATTAACAGACTTTTAATCTTCCTTGTGAGGAATATACAATCTTTGTTCAGTCCGGTCTAACAAGAAAAACAAACCATCGGTTACACGGTAGTTGGGAAGTTGAGTTGGGTCTTTTGCAAGGACATTAAAGATAGGCTTCCAAATAGGGTCAGTAACATATCCTTGCCGAATTTTATCTTTCAAATCACTCCCAACATCCAAATAAGAGACAATTGCACCAAAGAAGTCACACCTTCTGGACAATGCATCTGCAACCACATTAGACTTACGTTTGATAGTTTTCAACTCAAAATCAAAAGTATTAATGAATGCAGACCATCGAACCAGCTTATCAGAGAGCCTAGGCTGTGTTTTTATCCACTTCAGAGTAGAGTGGTCTGAGTACACAGTAAAGTGTCTCCCTAATAAGTAGTGTTTCCATGTGTTTCGTGCACATAGGCGTATAACTTCCTCTCATACGTGGAGTTGGCGACTTTTTCAGACGGTGGTCGTGCGGACATAAACTCAATGGGTCTACAACCCTTGCCATCGTTTTGTTGGAGTACTGCGCCAATCCCAAACTGACTTGCGTCAGCAGTGACAATGAAGGGTAGAGACGGGTCAACAATTTTCAGAACTGGGTAGTGAGTCAATGCATATTTCAACTTTTTGAATGAAGACTCACAGTCTTTGTTCCACAACCAAACATTTTTTCTTTATTAATCTTCTCATTCGTGCGGCGATCAGTGAGAAGTTCCTAACGAACTTTCTATAAAAACTTGCCAAACCAAGAAAAGACCGTAGCTCAGTTGTGGACTTTGGTCGTGGCCAATCTCTAATTGCTGATATTTTCCTTTCTTCAGACCTTAAGCCATCTTCGTTCACTATATGTCCTAAGTATTAAACTTCGGACTTAGCAAACTCAAATTCTTTTGGATTTAGCTTGAAGTTGCCCTAACGCAACTTTGCTAATACTAGACGTAGGTGTTTCTCGTGATATTCTAGTGTCTTACTATACACTAGAATGTCATCAAGATAGACAATGACGAAGTGATCCAACCATTGACGAAAGAGTTCGTTCTTAGATCTTTGGAAGGTTGTTGGGGCATTAGTCAGTCCGAAAGGCATTACCACAAAATCGTAGTGATCATACATTGTTCGGAATGCAGTCTTGTGTTGATCTGCAGGATCCACCTCGATCTGGTGGTATCCAGACTTCAGATCAATCTTACTAAAGAACTTGCAGCCCTGCAACTGGTCCAACAAGTCGTCAATTCGTGGAAGAGGTTCGACAT